AGCGCCGTTAAGTATTAATTCGACGCTACATTATATTTTTTTCTTTTCAATTCACTTACGCTTGCTTTTCTTATCATATCTTAAGCCAATCAGGCAAAACTTTTCACACATTATGCACATTAAACCAAACCAAACAAGTGTAGGAAAGAGGATTTGGACCGTTGTATTTCAAGCGATTTTAAGCGGCTTCAACAAGAGAAAAAACCAGAACGCTATAGCCGGGCAAAGTCGATCATTAGATACCGTACTTAACAGCAAATTAGCAAACACAATTTACTTGTCAAACATTTTATTATTTTCCACTTGACTCGGTTATCACATATTCCAAATTAGCCTGTGTCGCCGTAGAAGAAGTTGCTTTCATAAGAGCCCCAAAAAAAAAAAAAATAGATCTATGTGATTCAAATTGCCTATGGTTGATTTACTAAGGACAAAATTCGACTTTTTTGTCATATAAAGGTTTATCCTTCATTAGAACCGTTATATGGGATTACGTCAAGTTAGTATTGTGAACCAATTTTTGAAAATTAGTCCTTCTTACCATGTAGACATTCAGTTTCCGTAGGAACGGGGTTGAAAAATTGCCCCATGCGAGTGAAGGTTTTCACATCAGTTACGAATGTCGAAATACGACTTACCAAGCGATATTTGTCGCGAAATTCTAAAAATTACGATATTGTTTCCTTATAACAACTTATCAAAATGAGACGTTATAGGGGGAGTGATCCAAGCAGCGATTCGACCCGAACCATCTCCAATTACGCCCGTCCTTGGACTAAAACGGATCGATCGGAGACAATAGTTTGAGCACAAGAATAGATGGACAGCCAGACTTAGTAAGAGTTGGGTCTATCTTAAGCCCTTCTGAATGTTACATACCTAATATACACAGTACCACAAACGGTTTAGGGTATAAATACTAAATAAATAAATGAAAAAAGATTAAGTAATGAAAATTCAATTTGCGTATAATAAATCCGTGAACAAATTATAAATTAATAAATAATATAATTTTTCGTTCTACTGTTTGTCTAAAATATATATGTAGTAAGCAATTAGAAATATGAATATATAAGATTAGGATTCCGATTTTGTAATTTCTTCGAAATTATTAAGCTTTAGTTCCTTAATAGGTTTCTTATAATGATCTTCAATGGCACGGCAGACATTCATTGCTTTTTCGCTGTCAATTATATTGAGTGCGATGCCGTTTTTGCCAAATCGGCCAGTTCGACCGATACGGTGTAAATAAGTTTCGCAGTCGGCATTGCCTTTCCCGTCTATAGGCAGATGAAAGTTTATAACAACAGCGACTTCTTCTACGTCGATACCGCGCGCCAGCACATTAGTGGTAATTAACACTTCCCTAAGGCCATTTCTAAACTAATCAAGCACTTTTAAACGTTGCTCTACCATCAAATCGGTGGTTAGCATAGCAATTGGATATCCATTTGCGTACATTCTTTCAGCTAGCCAGGCGGCCGTTTTGCATGTATGGCAAAAAATAATTGCTTGGCCGGTTCTATTATTACATGCATTTTGTACAGTTTGCAATTTTTCTTCTACAGAACAGAACTTCCCTTGGAAGTCGTATTAAATTCGCTTTGGATATAATAAATTGAGCGAAACTCATTATTTCCTTATCGTAAGTGGCAGAGAAAAATAACGTTTGACACTTAAAAGACAATTCTTTATGAATTCGTATGGAGATATCCGGATGACCTTCAGATATCATAACATCAGCTTCGTCCAAAATGAAAATTCGAATCTTCTTCAAATCAATTATACGATGTTTTAAGCCCCAATCGAGTATTTTTCCAGGCGCCCCGACGATAATATGATCCGTTAAATTTTCGCCAAGATAAACGAACTCTCCGCTAACTGCTAGTAATAGTTTTATATCTAGCCGGAGGCGAGCAATTTGAGCAATAACTTCCGCCGTTTGGATCGCCAGCTCATAGGTTGGTAGCATGCATAAAACTTTTAATTTTGCATCAACAAGACTTAACATGGCCACGACGAAGGCAACTGTTTTCCCGGTACCCGATTGGCTTTGTGCTATCAAATTTTGTGGCGGCTCCGCGAGTAAAAGCGGCAAAGCGGTTCCTTGAATTTTAGAAGGTGTTTTAAAACCGGTAGCGTAAATGCTCTGAAGTATTCTAGGTTGCAGATTCAATTCTTCGAACGTCTTCACTGGACGTACTACAGATCTGGGATCCTCTTGCCGAACTTCCAAGTTCATCTTGGATTCTATCAAAGACTTTCGGCAAACTTTCAACATTAAGCTGGATTCTGCTTGACTGGTATTATCGACTTTCTCGTCGCTGTCTTCGTTAAAAGAGTTTTTACCCTCCATTTTGGATACTTTAATTTTGAATTTTACAATTTCTTCTTCTTCTCCTTGTGTTATTCTGGCAAATGAACAACCGAAAATTCCCTGGGACATGTAAAAGTGATGCAATGTGAACACAGAGTTCTTTTTTTTTGAGCCTTAGTACACTTGAGGTGATTATTTGATTGAAGTTTTATTTTTTTTTATTTTTGGGTGTGATACGAACGCCGCGTTATTTTTTATAGTTTTTATTAAAATACACATATTACTCGTCCGCCACGTAGGATAGAACAGAAGAGCGAGGCGTAAATGTGATGTGATGCGATGTGTTAGATGTAATGAGGCTTATGAGTGTAGAAAGTCATATGAGGGAATTGATGGGTGTGAGAGCAACAATATCTAATGTTGCTTCCAAACTTAAAGCCGCTTCCTTTACTTTTGCCTCTAGAAGAATATTCACCAGACACATTACACAGGCGAACAAACAGACAGGCAGACAGACAACCAAGGAGCAAGACAGACAGAGAGGCAAAAAAGCAGACACAGAGAAAGCTGGACAAGCTTAAATCGATTCAGAATTTGGTCTTGATAAAGAACGTATGCGCTTTATTGAGCCTCGGAGGCTTCCTTTCGGCTGTCACAAACTCTTCGACAAAATGAACATATTTGTATGTTTCGTTGGTGGTAAAAATAGGTGAGGATTCTAATTACAAGCGGAACTATCCTTACTGTACCAATGCAATAAATGGCAAGCATGTAACTTTTGTTTCTCTCCCAACAATCTCGTACTCTTCTTTATAATTATGCAACTAAATGCTTTTGATAGCATACGAATGAACCCGTCTTACAACGCATAGAAGTTGGTGGAAATGAAGCAGACGAGTTCAAATTTGGCACAGACATTGAAAGTCTTGCACGCAAATTGGTATTGAAATTTGGCCAAATCGGTCAAAAGGGGTCACCTTTGGTTTTCAAATCAAATAAGAAATTTGTTCTTTGCACATCACGCCAAGCTCCAGCAAACAAATCTATGAGCGACGTTATAATATTTATAAAAAAAGGGGGAAAAATCAACCATGCCTAATGAACTTTATAGTGTGTCATAATTTACATTTTTTTTCCAAAACCTTTATATAAACCACCAGAGCAAGATTCAAAAGTCTCATAAAGTATATAAATTCAAATTGGGAATGTTTCAAAGCATATTCATTGGTTTGTAGGTCCGTCTGTCCGCCTGCGCTATTGTTTAAATATTCTCCAGCTCGCTAAAAATTAAGCTATGCCCTACAAATTTGCAAGAAAATTTGAAAATAAGCCAAATTTCGTAAAGGACACACCTACAATGCCCACATGGCTTTATAACAAAAACTGTGAACACTTTTGCTTCCCATAGTTTTTGCTTGTCACTCATAAAGTCAAACATGTACACCATGTAAATCTTCACTTTTATTCTGAAAATAGAGATATTCAACCACGCCCATCCAATATTATAGAGTACGAAAATGTAGTTATTATCCTTTTTTTTTTTAATCTTTTTTTTATGATAACAATGATGGGTATGAACGACTCGGTCACGATCGAATGTAATTTTCTTATTTGTTAAATTTGCCAAAGGCTTTTTAAGCATTTTCTGCATGATGAGTGCATTTGTACGCTAATCATTACATTCTACACCACTACCTCTGGTATGGATATGCTAAGTTTGGATGAGTGTAAGCAACATCATGAACGTTTCGAAACATATCTAACATCAATCGATAGACCTCTCTGACTGGCCGTGCGTTCTAGTGTCTATAATTTTTTGAAATGAAGTCTTCATATGACAATCGGGATCCAACTTTTGCTATTTTACAATGGATATTGGTCGAGAATAGCGATTCGGCTTAAAAATTTGCCGCATTAGTCTGTACTTCAAGCCCTTGTCACATTCTCGCATCTTAGAGCTCTACTTGACTTTCCCTTTCTTTGAAGTCATGCATCCCGATGGATTATGTCAATTTTCATAGTTGTTGACTTCAAATTCCATGAAATCAATTCAAGAATATGAGCTAAGAACTTCGGCTCCTTTGCAGAGCCCTTTCAATAGAACTGGTAATGAATGGCCGGCCATCATTCACTAAAACATTTGAAATTTTTGGAGGACGCGCAGACGAATTTCATTAAATCCGTTAAAAATATTATCGAACATGAGACGGGTTTCAGTTTACTTTGACAGTACTATTGTCAGAAAGACGAACGTGCCCAACAAACAGACGTGAATAAGTTGTCTTACCATCTTTATAAATATTCCTTCAAAAATGTACAAACGGAAAATACCCGTTCGATGGATTCCGAATAAACGGATTGAACGGAATTAGTTTAGACGGTTGCAGTCAGTAATAAAGAAGAAATCTCACAGGCATATAATGTATTCGTTTATGTTATAAATGATATAAGTAAGTTGGTGTATGCTTCATTGGTGTTTATAAATGAGCCTTTAATTAAATATGCTTCATTTTACCATGATTAGAGAGCAATTCCGTTAACAACGATCAAAATAAAAGCAATTTTTATAATTATTAATAAGCAATAAAGGGAATTTGTAATGATGTTTACAATGAAGAGCTAAAGGCTTTCCCCAAACACTATATATAAATAAACAAAACTTATAACTAAAAAGACGTTAGTAATGTTCAATCCCGTGCCTGCGGATGATAAACGATTCCACTGGCCGCGTCAATGTGTCTGGTTGAAGCTTAACGGATCTTGGCCATTGAAGTCGGCCAAAGATTTTCAAAGCGAACTTGATGCCACAGAAAGTTATTCGACGTTTCTGTATAGTCTCTGGTCATGGTACGTTATACTGTCGGTGGGCGTAACTATCGTTTATCAAACCGCTTTTCTAATAACAAATTTCGGGGATATTATGATGACAACTGAGAATTGTTGCACCACATTTATGGGTGCCTTGAATTTCGTGCGGCTCTTGCATATGCGCTTAAATCAAAATCAATTTCGTCGAGTCATCGAACAATTTGTCAACAATATCTGGATTAATAGGTAATCGTATGCATATCATTAAATAATATGCCTCTCTATCTATGATTACAGACAGCCGCTATATAAATATATTTGCATTGCAGAGAACATCATCCTCAAGTGGCCCACGAATGCGAAAATCGTATGAGCACTTTTCGCGTAATGACCATTTTATTAAGTTGCCTTATCGCTATGTACTGTTTATTGCCATTAATAATATTATTTGTGGACGTAGGCTGGAATGCACCTGAGAAACCTTTTCCTTACAAAATGTTATTTCCCTATGATGCTCATCATGGCTGGCGTTATGCGTTTACTTATGCTTTCACTTCGTATGCTGGCATTTGTGTGGTCACTACATTGTTCGCTGAAGACTCGATATTTGGATTTTTCGTTACTTACACTTGCGGCAAGTTTCGTCTATTGCATCAACGTATAGATAACATAATATCAGACTCAAATGAATTGATCAGGAAACGTCAAAACGATAACGACATCCAACGAATTTGTGAAAAGAAATTGAATGAAATTGCTTACGATCATAATAAACTTATAGAGTGAGTACAATAATGTAATGCAGAAATTTTATATCCACTCCCAGACACAGACAGGATGCACACACCGATTGCAAACAGCTCATATGACAAGACAAGGAAAGATGTAATATAAATGTAACATACCCATTAAAACTGCATTAGCCAGAGACGCCTTGAAGAGTACCGCTTATACCCATTATTTCAGGTGATGAACTTCCAAAGAAAGTAGACAAAAGAAAAACAAAAAACAAAAAACAAAACCTAACAGCATCAATAAGTCGAATAAAAACAAGTTAAGAACACTACGGGGTAAATAGAGTTGACATCTGCCATCTCGAGAAAAAAAAAAAAAAAGTGATGATGATTATGATGAAATGCAAAGTATTTTATTAATTGGGGCCTTGTCATTTGACCAATCAGAACTATTGTCGTAACGACTTTTTAAATGCTCTCAGCGTATAAAGAGATCAAGCTTCATATCGATATCTGCTTTAAAGTGCAAGTTAGAATTGTTCGGCAACGAGCAAGACTCAAAAGAAATTTGACACACGACCCTTGCCCGTATGAAGATCTTTCGCGACAAACTATGTGGTTACGCATACATTTTCCAAATTGCTTGTGAAGCAATTGTTCTTTGAGCGTCGAATTTAAAGTACGTTCTCTCTGGGTCTGACGGCAACTTTGCAACTTTAGTTATGTCGGCATTTGCTTTTGAATTCAGTCGAAATTTTTTTTGTATGAGTTATAAGACCGCATTCCATCTCTGCTGATGTTTTGGATCATTCTTGTACCAGCATTAGCGTTATTATTTGCGAAGATTCGAATAGGGGAAGGATGCAAAAATGATGCCATTTTATCAGTTACTGAGTACCTTAAGTACCTTAAGCAAGTACCTTAATATCGTATTTTGTCTGTTATACTAGGGGAGAAAGAAACTTTCATAGTTTATCATAATACTGGATGGGCGTGATTGATAATTCAAATGTTGTGTGTGAGTATCTCAATAAATTATATTGAGCTCGCACCTGAATATAACCAAATGTCGCTCGCAACGCTTTCGCATATTCGCATATTCGCACATTTATCGAACACATGGAATGTTTGTTAAATACCACATAGTAGGTGATGTTTGTGTCGATGTTTTACGAAAGAGTTCATGAATACGAACAAACCCTAATCAAACATGTTTATATTGATGTATTTCGCTTTTTTGACTCCCAAAAAGCAAAAAGACACGCGCCATATACGAGGAGAATGGGACCGAATATGTGTCTTAAGGATAATTTGAAAATTTTCATCTCAGGAATTTTAATCTCAAATGTGTCCAATCAGCCAATATTTGGACTCAGTCGGAGCGCAACTAACTCTTCTCAAAAATTTTCGAAAGCTTGCTAGAAAGTTCGCATTTGAAATTTAATTGATTTTCCACACGAATATTGCCGTAAACACAATATAATGTAATATTGTATGTACAAATAAGTTTTGAAAGCTTTCTTTCATAACTTTGAAGCTATATTCAGAGAAGTTGGTACAATGTGTTGTTCATCGTTAGCGACAATTCTCCCACCCCCTTTTAGGCAATTATCAAACTCCTTCTCCTCCTCTTCTAATTCTAAGGCTATCCCGAAAGGAACTCATCGTCATAAGAATTAAAGTATCGTCTGAGCAAAGTAATCTATTGGAACTAGCGTTAATCAAAAGAAGTAATGTCTGCATGTGGGGGCCGAATTCGTTAATACGAAAAGCTCACGATATCAACACCTTTGATATATTATTTCCATTTCTTGGCGCAATTGCGAATTGCAAATGATCAAGCATCAAAGATATTCAGCCGTCGATATTACTGGTTCGCATACTCTTCATCAAGATTATTTAAGCTTTGGATATTGTAGCGCATTCATTGGGCGTCACTGGTAAGGATTTAGCCGCACTACCCTTTGAAATAATTAGAAAAAGTAAAATTTGTCGCAAATTTCATTTTTTTTTTGCAAAAAAACTACATCTACTCAAGGCTCCGGGAAACTATGTCGTGTACGCTTTAGTGTAATAATTTACCCAATTGCATATAGCTTAAAGACAGCAGTTTCAAATGAAGAAGTTATAGTTTTATGTCTATAGTTGCAGTACTAATTATAATTCCTCTTACCGAACCTCGAACCGAACTAATTTGTACTCCCAATAAACATTATTTATTTAGAGATTGATTATTCTATTATTGGCTGCCAAATACACTTTATTCGATAATATCTTTCCATATCTATGCAATTCGGTAAAAACTTAAATCAGAACTCTGAACTGAACTACAAGATCTGAACATCAAAAGCCAAGCTTGAGTTTTCAAAAATTTTCCTCTCTTTTTGCAAGATTTTCAAATCGTTTGGAGCACTTTTTCAATCCGATTTTATTAGTAAATTTTCTAATATCGTCGGTATTAATTTGCATGGTGGGTTTTCAATTGGTTACTGGTCAAGACATGTTTATTGGAGATTATGTTAAATTCATTGTTTATATATCGTCCAGTCTATCGCAGCTCTATATACTTTGTTGGAATGGTGACGATTTGATACAGCATGTAAGTCCTCTATTAGATATTTTTATCCTTCCTTATCATTTCAAATGTTTTTTTATTAACTTATTCATCTTTCTTTTTTTTTTAATTTTAATAAACAATAAAAGTCGACTGAAACCGCCAAGCATTTGTATGGCTGTAATTGGGAGGGCGTAACTCTAAATATACAAAATGCAAAGAGACTCCCTAATTGGCATCGAGTGGAAGTATTTCATTTAACGTCGATCCATCCGACTAACAAAGAATTTAGGCAAAATTTACAAATAATGATTTTGTGCAGCCAACGGCCAGTGAAGATAACGGCTTTAAAATTTTCTATATTATCTTTACAAAGCTTCACAGCGGTAACTTTAAAAGCAGCGTACATCATAAGTTCTAAAAAAAGTTTTTTTCTTTTATTTTTTCTAGATTTTAAGCACCTCAATGAGTTATTTCACTTTATTGCAAACAGTTTACAATGCAGATCAAGAGGAAGATCATAGTAATAATTCATAAATTTTTTCTTATTAGAGTTAACAATGGGTTTATTAATATTACATTATACATGCTTTGAACATTTTTTAATTATAATCACAAATCGTAAGTTTCATTATTATTATTACTATTATTATTATTATTATTATTATTATTATTATGCAATGGTGTGGCTGGTGTGGCAGTATCTTCTTTTGATTCCGTTAAAGCCCGGGCCTGATGTGTAAATACCGGGACATTAACACCCTTTCAAAATCAAAGGTTTCAATAGTTTTATAAGTTATTTTTTCATTTTTCCAAAATTCGTATACAAATCGATACGATTTTCCTTAAATGTTACCTGCATTTTGGCTGATCTCACAAACGCTTTGTTCGAGGTGACAGTAAGAGCTTTCATATGCATGCCGAAAGCGAATATTAACAAACTGCGCTCATTAATTTTACCGCTAAACTTAATACTCGACAATTCGTCTGGTATTTCTGTGACATCCGACAATATTTCGATGCGTCTTGTAAATTCTTCGGCACGCTGCTTTTCCTTCGGACCGCCGAGTAACGAGACAATGTCTTCAAACGATTTGTACGCGGTTTTACAGCAAATTAAGCGTTTATCTGGAAAGAAAAAATTAATAAAAACGTGGAATAACCTCTCAAAATAGTACAAATAATTTCTAATTGATTTGTTTGGATTTTCGTTCTATCCACAACACTTGCACGTGATCTTCATAATTATTGAATGTTTCGTACACTTTCCACTTTCGATTACTTTTTTTGAGATTATATCTTGATATTTTTTAATGTTTTAACTTTTCAAAGATCTATAAAACCGTGCTTTACAATAAAACTTGCAAACTATCAAAATTTTACATTGAGATTTCCTATTGTCAGCTCAATAGTTTCATATCAGACTGTCACATTTGACCAAGTCAAATGCATTCAAGTTTATGTTGGCGAAATACGAGGTCCAGTGATGAGATATTAAGCATGACTACCATCGGATTTTCCAAAAAGGCAAAGAGATATGGTGAGTGGGCCGGGCAAAATAATCAAGCTATTAAAAATAAAATTTCGCGAGATAGCTTCTAATGACATGTCTTGATGTCGTTTATTGAATTCTTACCAATGGTATTTCGAAAGCTTTGTTATATTTTTAAGTTTTTTTCCGCTACGGAAAATTTTATTTTTCAATTTTTTAACGATGCCTAAAACTGCAGGGCCGATAGCCAAGAAGTCGGAAATTTATCGAATTCGACGAAGACTATCAAGAATTTATTATTATAAAAGTCTTGTGCTAGAAGGATTTATTGTACTCGATGCGAGTTTGAGATCTCTGTTGAAATTTGTTGTTTTTTGAAACGGCATGAATAACTTTTAATCTTTATCAGTGCGATGGTCAGACGATAATTTTCATAAAATCAACTTTAATAATTTTCTTTTAAAAATCCGTGTACTAAGTACTTTCTTAAGATATCTGAGAGATATCTGAGGGCAGTAAGCAATTTGAATATTAATATATAATTTTTAAGCGATCAATCTTACCAGTAAATAGTTTATCTAAAATTGGCTTTAATGGTGTATCACGTTCCTTTTCTGCTTGTTCCGTTAAAATAGGCTCTTGAAATTTCCAATAGCAACTACCATTGCAAACGTTCGAAATGTATGCCAGTAAAGTAGTGACATCTAAATTAAGAGTGCTGACGTTGCTTAAATCAGAAGCATCCGCCGAATCGGGCGGTTGTTCCAACGATGCTATCTCTATACCTTCTTTTATTAAATCTTCCGCCAGGTCACTCTCAATGTTATGGCTAAAATAGAAAACCACCTGAAGGCCCATTAAAATAACAATTTAAATAAAAGATCGATAAAGAAAAAAAACCCACTTTAGGACGTTTGAACATGCAAAGGTTTTCTACTGCAGCTTGGGCGAACTCTCGTGCCTGATCAACGATGCTGCGCGCTCCGTATCCGGCTTCGCCGCGCGCAGCATCTATTAACGATTTGGAATTACGAGCTATGGCTGAAATTTTACAAATCCTTTCTCGTTCTAAACACTTTTATTAAACACGCGCGCTTACCTTTTATCCATTTTAAGCCGTTTTCACACACAATATCTACTCTTAATGGATTTTCACGATAATTTACGGTGAAACCACAATCGACGTGCACTATATCCTTTTGAAGTTTTAAAATTTTTACTAAAAACTCGTAGTGGGTTAAATTGCTGCATTGTATGTGATTTAATTTGAGAGTAGAATTTTTAATAACTTTTCGCAAAAATTTTATTTCTTGATTAATGTTTCTTTGAACCTTCGCTACACCCGAAATTTCATTGAAATTGTCCAAATCGTTAATAAGTTCCTGGCCTAAAATAACTTTTTGTTCAGCTTTTTCTAATAACTGAGCGAACATTAATTCTTCGTCCATATTTTGTTTTTTTTTTTTTTAATAATTTTATTTTAATTATTTGAATATATATATATTATTAAAAAATTTTTCCTTTGTAAAGCAAACTCAATACAAAACATATGAGTCACATTTGTCATTCATTCACTACGCTTTAATAGCTTTCTTTCTTTGAAGTCCCATCCCGAAAATAAGAACAATAACAGAAGAAGAACTCGATTACACTTGAAAGAATTTTTTTTACGAATTCGCATAATTCACCAATTGGAATTTTATGATATAACAATTTTATTCGTTATAAATAGATCTCGTTACATTGCTTTAAGAGCTAAAATGTTTCTATCGCGGAACATATTCGGCAGTGTGCAGCGACTGGCCCCTTGGCGATAATCAATTGTCTTTTAATAAATACCAGGCGGTAATCGCCTGCTTACATGATTATCCCTCTGATTTATAAGGAAACATGGAAGGAAACTTTTGAAATGTATTAGTTTCAATAGATTTCAGATTATCATAAAAATAGACATAAGTTGGATGTTAGACAACGAACTTTGATAAAATTCTATCGTGACAAAAGATTGATTAAGCACGGATATTGATGAACATGGGCGCCACGTATTGGTCGTTTCATTCGAATTTCTTAACCGTTGTTATTGGTCAAAAGTTTCTGACATAAATATTATATTTTATTTGCTAAAACTTCTTGGATGTTCTCATTGTTTATTTTTTTTGTGGCATCATGTTTTATTTTAAAAATTTTCTTCAACGCTTTGTTTACATTTCACAACTTTGTTATCCTTATCATGTGCAAAAACATTATTCAATAAAATTGTATGTATAATGTGTTTGCGTCTTGGAATTTTGTTTCGGATATGTTGCCAAAGAAATACTTCGTCTTGTATGCATATATATAGATTTCGTCGCAGTCCGAAAAGATTGTTACCTAATTTTATCAAAAATTAATTATATGAAGAAATTTTTTATACAAATATATTCGCCAAGAGTAAAATTATAAACAATAAATATCCTAAATGGCAAAAAGCGACTATGTACGAAGAGTTATAGAAGTTGAAATTCTTCACTCAATCACAATTGGAAATTTAAAATGAATGTAAGCAGATTTTTATTATAGTAAAGCGTTTATGAGATTAAATCTTAGAAATTGTGTATAAAATTATCGTCAGTCAATATAATTATTATTATATTAAAAGCAATACTCTGCGCTATCTAGTAGTGTATGCTGGAAATGCAATAAAGAAGCTAAGGGTTTTCATCAAAAATTGTAATAAGAAGCAAAGTTAAAGTATAGTTTAGCGGTTTTGCTAAGACAAATTCAGGCATGGATTGCAGATGCTTAAATATCGCATATAATAAAATATTGCATGCGACAATAACACAGCACTGTATTGCAGCTGAAACCAATCGTTTTAATTGAATCAAACACAATATGTATAACACAAAAACGTTATATATTTTGTTTTTGTTAAATTTGTGATTGTATGTGTTCGTGTTTTTGGCTGAATTTAGACTTATTCACAGCGAAATGAAGAGTTTTTATGGAGTATATTTTTCGTTTGCATAGCTGTCAGTTTTTGATGAACATGAAGTGAAGCTAAATTTTGTGTAATGTTTTAAGAAAACATTTATCGATATCCATGACACAAACCAAATTAGTATATTTCGATATATTTTGCATTTTTATTTCCGAAAACCCAAACGTGCATTGCAGTCACCAGAAAAAGATATTAGTCTTATGTAGAGAGAATTCTATTAGGATGTTCGGAAAATTTTTTAGTTTTTTTTCTCAACAACGTACACACCCACGGCGCATGTTATGCACAGATTAACATTAATGCGCAGAAAATTTAGTGTGAAAAGGGATTAGTGGAGTAATGGTAACTTGCTTGTGAAGGAGAACAAATGCAGAATATTTGCGAAAGGCAAAGTTAGCCGGGTTAGTCGAGATGGTTACGTCAAGGGACCTGAATTGCAATATTCGAAAGGACAAAAAGGAAAAAACGAGAAGTGAAGCGTTGTAAATATAAGATCCTGTAAATAATTTGTAAATAGATCTTCCAAAAATTGTAAATTAAAGGATTGTGTAGGTATCTATATAAAAATCATAATTCATCGGTATGAACTTAACATCAAAAAGAAGTCAAATGAAAACGTAAAATCACAAATGACGGAGTTCATGTTAGCAATGCTTGTTTTTTGAAACTATCTGTTTGATTCTGCGGAATAGCTATTGTTTGCCGTCTTATTGGCTATGGAGAGTCAAAAGCAGCAAAATCCGGCATATTTTAGTTTTTTGCATCAATAAAGTAAAAATTGCATTCGAGCAAGAAAAGATTTAACGGAATGTGTATGAAGAAGATGTACTGGCAGGACACCAGTGCCAAAACTGGTTTACAAAGTTTCGTACCGACAAATTTTGTTACTGAAGATTTGTCACGCCGTACGAGATCAGTTGAAACTGATGAAGAAGAAAAAAAGGAATGAACTTATGGAAATCGACGAATAACAAATTGTAAGATCGCTGAGCGATTACATTTCTCGCATTCAATAGACCATAATAGTATATTTATACACTATAAAAAAATCATCTTTCATTTTGACGAAAGCAAAAAGAAACAAAAAGACTTTCCGAACAACCTAATAGAATTAGCTCCATACAAGGCTTGTGCCCCAATATAAGCGAAAGATTTTGCTAAATATCTTAGCGCAGATTTTGGTTGTCAAAATCCCCGCCCCACTTCTTCCCTTGTGATTAGCATGTAATGACTACAGCGTTTAAAGATAACTTCAACACTACCCAGTCTGTTATCTGAAAAATTTACAGTGGCTTCCCGCATATTTCGGCGAGAGGAACACTTTGTTAAATAAATGGATAAAAACAATCTGCCAGTTACTGGCGTGACTGGTACCAGTCACGCCAGTCACAATTCAAAATAGTTGCGTACTTTGTGACATGCCTGATATGTATATTTGTAGACATTAGTAATCTATAACAAATCCAATATCGTCTCTACGTGGCGAATAATAGACGATACATGATAGTCAGTTGTATGGGAATATAAATTAAAAAACATGGTAGAGTGTGCTATATACACAATACATAAACTTAACGATATACATCATGCGAACAGACGTTTGCTCTCGTCTGTGGGGAAATGTCGTATACGAGCTAGACGCGGGTAATAACATTTCGCCATAAATCGAATATAGTTTCTTTCTCTAGACTTTACCTTAAAGTGGTTTTGCTCATTAAAAAAACTGAGTTACGAACATCGACTGACTTTCGACATCGGGAGAACATAACTGATATATATATGATTGTATTTGATTGTATTTGTATGTTCATTTTTCAACGTTTACGAAACGTCATATGAAAAGTATTAAAAGAAATAAATTTTGCTGATCTTGTCTGGATCTTGGACATCATTATATTTTTTCTTGGTCCCGCTATCTGGTGTTTGTAAACGATGTCCGATATGTAAGCGACGACGTGGTCTACAATCTAAACCTTGCGTTATAAGTGATACGTCAAATTGGGACTGCATCAAAATATCTGACTGAGGTCGGCAAATTGGAATCAACAAAGGACTGAGGACCCGTTATAATCACGTTCAAAGTAAACTGTACTGCATTGAGACTTGAACGGCAGATACAGATTTGGTAGCCATGATCCGACTCGTAATGCGCAGAATTGGTGTCGTTGTCGAAGAATCGGCATCAGTTGATGTAGTGGGATGAGCATATAAAATTAGTTTGATCGGGGAGAATATGTGTCGAAAGAAGCAGTTAAGGGCTTTGAATGTATAAAGCGGTAACGTAGCAAAGGATTCATAGAAGACGGGAGTGTGTTCGAAATTCGCGCCAGTCTTAAGCATCAGCGTAACGTGGATTGGCTGTGTGTGTTTGTATTGGTATGTCCAAGTGGTAAGTATTTTGCAGGCATGCAAAAAAGTGACATGCCCATCAATCAATTCCTCGCATAGGACACGCGCCCTGGACCGTGTCTCGATTTTGACATTGAACATATATAAACATTAGCCCCTTGTCACTCCATCCTCTTCGCTTCTTCTCTTCCTCTAGAACCACCTCTTTGCATGCCTAGGTGTATAGAAGTCATCTTTCGACTGGCCGTTCAACTTATGCATGAATTGAAAAAAAAAAAAAAATTAAGTAAAATTCTCTTAAATTAGGCAGAGTTGACAAGCGATCACATCAATAGAGAATCAATTATAAAATATTTGCGCTTAGCAAGAACTTCACGGCGCGCGGTTAACTGAGAATACATAATAAAACGTTGTTCAGCAAAACCATAACAAATCAATTAATTCAGTTCTATATCATGCATTACATCAATAAATTTATACGCATTTAGTCGTAATGCTTGTTGAGAAATGATTTTTAATTTGCTTTAATTTTACGCATGCGTAAACCTGTATGTGTACAACAATAGAAGAAGCAACGTCATTCATGCTATAAGAAAAGGGGAAAGAAACCGAGAAAGAAAAAACAAGTGGTGCTGTGCATAATGCTATAGAGTGATTTGTAGGTGTTTAATAACGACGACCTTGCTGACGAGTGGTTGGCGTGCACACCTTTTTAAAGCGGTAAGTAGTAACAGTAGGTGGTATGTGCATGTATGTAAAAAGATAATTCATATTTTCTCGTGTGTCCATTGCTGTAATGTTTTGATTACAAATTTTTTATTGTTCTCCTTTTTTATATTTTGATGGCATGAAAATATTTTTTGATTCGTTTGCATCATCATCATCATCATCATCATCATCATTATCATCATAATTCATTATCATCATGATCATCATCATCATCATCATCATTGTATAGCAACAAATATTGTTAATAACAATAATAATAAATTGCATGCCGAAAACTATTAAACGAACATGTTTTTCTCTAATAACGTAGCGAGCAGAAGAAGAGGAAGGAACGGGAGAAACGACGGGCGAAAAAAAAAAGAAGCGAATGAGAGTAAAATCATATAAAGGAAAGGAAGTCAACACAATACACATTTTCTTCTTGATTTGATGGCTTGAGAATGATGAGATAGACACATGCATTAAACGC